CTGTGGGGTCGCTGAATATTGTCGTCACCGGCAACACATTTAGTGATGCGCTGCTCAGCCCGAGGTGTGTTTCCACCGCACACGAACATCACGATCAGCGGGAACCGTTTTGCGATCACGAGGCTGTTCCATTGGTTGGGTTTGGACCTTAGGAGGCCGTCGTGTGTTGTGATGAATGGGCTGGCGATCAGCAACGACTCCGCGGTGGTGCTGGGTGGCAATGTGTTTCAGAGCGTGACGGCATCGTCAAGTGTCATAAAATTTGTTGGATCTGCGCTGAGGGTGTCGTGGCACTCCGTGCTTGCGGTGGTGGGCAACACGTTTAATATGGCTGGCGGTGACAGTACTCTGATTAATCTTGAAGGTTCTGGCCAATTTTCATCGCTGAAGGTGCTGAACAACTCTGCCGTGGTGATCCGAGGCAACGTTGTGGCGAGGCCGGTGAGGCACTTTTTGTTAGTAATTTTGGCGTTACGTGTGGAGTCTCGGTCAGCGGTTGTGTTTCAGGGCAACGACATGAAGAGAAGCTCGGTTGTGTTCTTTCCAAGCTACTCTTCCTACATCTACTACAACTCCTGGCTGCAGCTGAGCGGCAACCTCTGCCGTGAATCCCCATCGGCAGCCTTTCTCTTTCTGAACCCCACGGTGAATCTCCGCGACTCCGCGGTGTCTGTGTCCGGCAACCGATTCATTTCCAGTACGTTCACGCCGACCGTTTTGCGGATATCCACGGTGTCTTGCGATCTCACAAACGGAGCGATTGTGGCGGCGTGCAACACTGTGAACGGCGAGGAGGCGTACTACAGCATCCCGTCTGTGTACAATGCCACCATCCTGACCTGCAGCGACCCATGCGCCCTTGCGACGTCGTGCTTCCCCGCGTACACGACGACTGCCTCGAGTGATGGCTGCGCCTGCACGTGTGCGGAGGGTGGCCACGGCGATGCGTGTCTGCCCGTTGCTGTCCCCGAGCCACCGAGCACCGACGGCGCCGACTTGTGCGTGCGGGACGTGCGTGTGGATGTGGAAGTGAGCGCCGGTCTCGGGACGTCGGTGTTGTGCTACGTTGGTGTGACCTTTGCGGCGGACGTCGTGGTGGACGTGGAGTTGATGTCAGGGAACGTGCGCAACGTGACGCTGGCGAACTGCACGTTTGTGGACGGAGCGAGCCTGTACGTTGTTGGGTGGCGATCCGACCCGCCTGCTGGCGAGCGCGCCGATGTGTTGGTCAGCGGGCTTGAGTCGTGCTCCGGTGGCGGTGTGCTGGTGGCGAACCGATTTCCGCCGGGCTCGCGCGTCACTGTGGTGGACTCGGTGCTGACCGCAGAGAGGCGTGTTGCGTACCGCGGTACCTACGACCTTGGCGAAGCGTCCGCGTGCCTTGTGTTGCACAACGTGAATCTGACTGGGAGCGTGCTGACCATTGCGCGCACGCAGGTGGCGGCTGTGTTCCGCGACGCTGTTGGCGTGTTGTTTGTTGGCGGCGTGGCGCTGTCGTCGCGCGGTGCGCTGTACGTGGACGGGCTGTCGGTGCAGACGGCGCTGGGGCTGTGCGTGTCGGTGGAGGGCGGTGTTGCTGCCAGTGGCGGCTCCGTGGTGGCGTTTGTTGACAACGACTTCCTGCTGTGCAAGAACGCGGTGTCTGTGCGTGGGGCTGTGAGCGTGTCGGGCTCCGCTGTGGCGTTTGTGCGGAGCGACTTTTTGACGACGGAGGACTACGCGGTGGCGTTTTATTCGACGGTGAGCCTGGATGGCGGGTCGATGCTGCTGGCGAAGGGCAACGTGCACGACGGCGTCTCGAGGGAGATGCTCTACGCCGCTGGCGCCGTGACCGCTGTTGGGAGCACGCTGAGCTTTGTGCGCAATCGTGCGCTGCTGCCGCGGATGCTGTCGGTAAGCCTTTCGCTCTCGGCTGGGGCGCATTTGAGGGTGGCGTGCAACGACGCTGGTGGACGTCTCCTGTCGACGGCGGAGGAGTACGCAGCAGCTGGTTTTGGCGACGCTGGGAGCATCGACGTTGCTGGGTGCGACGCCTGCGACAGGGACACGTACTGCTACGCTCCCGGGACTGCGTCGGCGAGCATGAAGGACGGTGTGTGCGTGTGCGCGTGCGGCAGCGGCGGGTACGGCGAGACGTGCGTGCCTGTGGGAGCTCCTGCTCTGCCGCCTGCTGTGGGCACTGCGTCGAGTGTGTTTGTCCGCGAGAGCGTGACGGTGCGGTCTGTGTTCGTTGTGCCTGCCGGTGCGAGCGAGGTGACGCTGCGCCACGTTGTGCTGGACGGCGTGAGTCCGGTGCTCTACGTGCCGTGGATGGCGCGGGACGGCGTGCGGATCGTTGTGCAGAACGTGTCGCTGCTGAACGGTGCCGTGCTGTACGTGATGGGCGGTGGAGCGTTGCGCGGTGCGGGTGCGGCGGGGAGCGACGAGAGCGGGCCGGTGGAGCTGTCGGTGTGCGATGTGGAGGCGCTGAACGGTGCGCTTGTGCTGACCGGCACGTTTCCCGCGGGGTCCGTGTTGACGGTGACGGACTCCCTGCTGGTTGCCGCGAGGCCGACGCCGCTTGTGTATCTTCCCGGCTCGCAGTCCTCGCCGTACGCACCGGTGCTGGTGCTGTCGGGCCTGCGGCTCGTGCGGTCCGTGCTGGTTGTGTTCGGCGTGGCCCTTGTGACCGTGATGACTGGTGGGCGGACGGTGGTGGTGGATGGCTCAGTGCTGGAGCTTGTCGGTGGCGGTGTCGCGCTGGACGCGGCTGTGCTCGGTGGCGAATATGCGTTGTACGCGAGTGCGCGCGTGGTTGCGTCGGGGGGCGCTGTGCTGCGCGTGTCGGGGAGCCAGGTGTACGCCGCGCATGGGTTGGTGTTCGACAGCGGGGTGGAGGCCAACGCGTCCGCCGTCGTAGTGAACGACAACGCCGGTGCGCTGACCGATGGCGCGCTGCTGGTGCTGCGGGGGTCGGCGTCGTTTGCGTCCGGGTCGTGGCTGTCGGTGCGCGGCAACAGCATCAGCGGCAGGCTTCTGTCGGTGCCGTCGTACCCGCGCAGTGCGGACCTCGCGCAGAGCACGCTGACGCTCCACGGGAACGCTGGCAGTGGGCCCGTCGTGATGGACGGTACCGTTGCGCTCGGGGGCGCCGGCCGAAAGTTCGTCGTGGGGTGCCTGACGCTCAACGGGCAGGCGCTGCAGCCGATTGACTACAGGTCCGCCGGCATCATCGGGGAATTCCGCCCCGTGGCGTGTGGCGTGTGCGACGCCGACGTGAGCTGCTTTGCTGCTGCGACGAGGGCGATTTTGGGGTCGTGCGGCTGCCGCTGTGCTGATGGCGGGTACGGGCGCGACTGCCTGCCGGTGTACCTGCCGCACGTGGACGGGTGCAACCGCACGCCAGCCATGCCGCTGCTGAGCCACACGGCGACGCTGACGGAGACGCGCAGCCCGACGCCAACACCAACGTGGACACCGAGCCTGAGCACAACGCACTACAGTCCAACGGGGACCGGGCCGACGGAGACCCTGCAGGTGACGGAGACGGTGGCGCTGCCGCCCACGCGGACCCCGACGGCGTCGGTGAGCAGCACGCTGT